AATGAGCTGACATCTGGTGTGGAGTTAAAAAAATAGGTTCTTCTTGTTTTATTGACACGTGGATCATAATACAAAAAGGGAAGCTAAAGACACTTTCCCGTTGATAATAGTCATACAAATATTAAAGTTGTTGGGATTCAGGAAAATAGGTTGTGAAAATGATAGGGTTTAAAATTACTTTTTTTGTTTTGAATTTTTTGGATCTTTTTCTCGGTTGTACCCTTCAATTAGTGGGACAACAAATCGTTGAAAGACTTCTTCTAGAAAGTCGTAAGATTTAGTAATGTTGTTAGTTAGAATGAAAAGAAAAATATTAGTATTGGGTTTGGGGAATTTTTGAATGAAGTTAGATCTGCTGGTGGTCATCAGAGTACAGTTGGCAATCCAGTGAATGTTGTCATTATCTAAGGATCCACAGATACATCTTTTTTTGTTGGCAAGTCCGTTAAAACCACCAATCGTTAATTTTGTTAATTTATCAATTTTTTCTCTTGAGTTTAAGATTCTCCATGGACCTATTAATTTAAAGGCACTTGTTGGTTGTTCTTTCCAGATTTCATTTGCAAATCTTTCAGCATTGCTTTCTGTTATCTGATTATATCCCCACCAGATTTTTTCTGAATTGATTGATGGACCAAGGAAAGGGAAAGTGTTGAAAAATTGTAGATTGTTTTCGATGTTTTTGTTGTTGAAATGTTGAATATACTTCTTTCTTAGGCATATTTTGATTATTCGAATCCAAATAGGTTCTCGGCCAAGTAAAGAGCAAGCAGTCATTTGGTTAATTGACCAGTCGTACTTGCACTTGAAACGATAAAGGTGGCTGCTTATGTATTCTAAATGGTTGATTAAGTTTTGTTGTGTCAGTAGCTGTTCTAGTATTAGTTCTGAGTATGTGATGATTTTAGTTTCAATTAGGGTGTTGGTTAGTAGTTTGATTATATGGAGAGGGAGATATTTTATATTAGGGTTTAATGTGGTTAGTTTATGTGTTGTATCTGACATTTTTTCAATTATATGATTTGTGTCAAAAATGTTTTGAGGTTGTAAGGTGATCAAGGCACCAAGGATTTTGTTTTTTGAGTCAACTTTTATGTTGTAGTTAGTTCTTTTGATTAAGTCTTCGGCTCTTCTTAGGTTCATGATGTTGACCGTAAGTTTTGTTTTTTCAGGTAAAATGGTTAGATTCATGGGTTTCAGTGCGTCTTGTATTAACTTGATTGCAATTTTTGTGCACATTACAGCATCTTCTGGTCTATCTCCTAGTCTCGGTGGTATTGCTATGATGAGGTCATCAGCATAGGCTGTTATATTGAACTGGAGTGGAGAGGAGTCTATGATTCTTTTTCCTTGTCAACAGATTGGAGGTTGACAATATTGATTGTCATTTATGTAGGTAATGGCTTTTTGAATAGTCGCAATGAAAAGGAAAGGATCAATGGTTAATGTTGAAGGTTTTCTTGAATGATCTTGTAAGTGAAATGATGGCTGAGCGATTGTTCTGAAACACTTTAAAGTTGTAATCAGTAATGATTAATGGAAGATTGTGTGGTTCTTGGAGAAAGATGAGGTGGTATTGTGATGTAGCTTTATTGACAATATGTGTTGTTTTTTGTAGTGAGTTGTTACAATTATAATTAATTACTTTCAACTCCATAATCCCAGTCAGTTATCTGTTTCAGGCTTTTAATAGCTTTTTGAAAGGCTTGACAGTTGATTGATTTAGGTCGATGATTTGTTGATTTCTCTTTGTTTTTGATGCACAATAAGCAATTGTAGGTTGAGTTGTTTTCACTTTCACATGTGGCTGTTTTGTGTTCACCTTGACATTTACCACACGTGGGCGCATTGGAACAATATTTGGAGGTGTGACCAATGGATAGACAATTGGTGCATGTCTTGATGTAAAAGTTGTCCTTGATAGGGACACTTTCCGCTCCAATATAAATGCGACCTTGATTTTCTATGATTTGACGAGCATTTTTAGATAACCTGATGATTAATTTTTTCTTGGTTTCTCTGTTGCGAATAGGAATATCATAAGTTTGAACAACCTTTAGAAATTCATCTTCAGGTATATTATTTCTTCGTTTTATGACATCTGCTGATTCCTCAGAGTAACTATTGATAACTGCCGATACTTGAGGCATCAATAGTTTCATCTCTTCAACTTCCAATTTATCTTTTAATTCAGTAGATTCAACATGGGTTTTGATCTTTTCTAGGGTTTCCATATTACTCATCGTCACTTTGACAGCAGTTAGGCCAGCTCTGGCTTCATCTAGTTGAACTGTGGTGTCTTGTTTTGATAGCGAAGTAATTTCCTTTAAAATCTCACTTGGAAGGACTTTAGGATCTTTACTTTTAATGATGTAGTTTTTTGGTTTCTTTGCTTTCTTTTGTTGTTGATTTTCACTATTGACAGACAGCTTATCCATTAATTTGTTGGTGAAACGATCTAGGGTGTATGAGCTATCTGGCGCAGTTGAATTGACTCTGGTGGCATGGTCAATCATGGTATTAATAGCACTTAGGAAGTTGTTGACCTGATCGCTAATTTTCACTTTGGCAGTTTTGCTCATATTGTTTAACATTGCCATTGCAAAGTCATCAATGTTGTTGCGCACATGGTATAATGTTGATGGTGTATCCATGTGTTTCAAGGCATTGGATATGACAGTTTGGTTTTTACATGATTTAACCTCTTCATAGGTGAAGTTAAATTGACCATTTGATGTCATTTTGTTGAGGACAGTGTGGTGAAGAGTTTAGCACAAAAATTAAGTAATTAATTTGGGTTTTAATTAGTATTTTAGTTAAAATTTACGGAGGTCGTAAAAAACGTTCTGTTGGTTGTTGGTTTAAGTGGCTCATGGTGACATCTAGTAGCAGCTTTGATAACTCTCTCAGCGCGAATTTCGAGTTTTTCGGATCTCTCATTTTCTCTGTCCATCTCCAAGTTGTAGCTTTTTAACTTATATTTAACTAAATTTCCTCATGTTATCTTTAGTAATGTTTATCGATATTGATAAGCGGACAAAGATATAAATCGATTTAGTTGAATACCGAAGGGTTTTGGATGATTTGACCAGCAAATGGAATGAGATCATTAAGATTTTACTCAAAGATTCAGGCAATTTAGGGTGAATCCGATCAAGAAAATTATTTAGATAAAAATTTTATTGAAATAAAATCTTTCAGTTAGATAAAAAATGTTTTTATCCAAACTAAAAACCAAGCTTTTTTCGTGAAAATAGCTGCGCTTTTTAGCTATTTACCTGGCTTTCTCTGAGTTTTTCCTTTTCTAATTCAAGAATAATAGTTTTTTTTAATTTTGTCTGATTTGGCTGGGTGTTAATAGCATTAAACTAATTAATGACAGATCAAAAACTAATTAAATTCAAATTTAAACTCAGCTCTACTACACCACGTTTTTCAATCAATGAAGGCGCAAGACAGCAATGTTAATAAAAATATGAGTTCGGAAAAGTTAAAAATGTGACGTAGTAAAAACGTCACACTTTTGTCACTCTTATCTTTTTTATTCACATTCCTCTCTTTTTATCTAAATAATTTTCTTGATCGGATTCACCTTTATATGCTCAGAAGCAATAAAGGGATAGAGAATTGATGAAATAAGAAGATAGAAGTTTTAGAGTTTTTCTAACTAGAGTTCGATTCTCTAAAAGCATTTTTGAATTTCCAGGCTGATCGTAGATCAGTTCCATTTCGCTGGTTATCGCTCTCATTGAAAGTTCCAAGTGTTCTAATAAATCTCTCAAAATTAACTGGAATTTCAATGTTTTTCTTAATTATTTTGCTTAATGGACACCAGATAGCAGAATCGACATCATTGGAATTTTGACTTCAATCCAAATGTAAAAATTGTGTCAAAAAGTAAATTCACTTTTGTGAGTCTGCGAATCCTTCAAGCGCATTGAAGTTTATTCAATCAACTTCTTGGCCATAATTTTCGAAATCCGTTTTTCGCCAGTTGATTCACTTTTGCATAACCGAGCAATGCAAGCCATTTTTATCGAAATGTCCAAAAAGTAAACATTGATCAAAACTTGAGTTCAATTTGAGTGACAAGACTTTTTAATTTTCTCATTCGAAGATATAAAAAAGTTCAAAAATAAAAGGTAATTTTCACTTAGCTAATTTCATGAAATCCAAAGCTGAAAAACCCAAGTCAAGAAAAACTGTCCCAAGAATTCAGTATTGGATGAGCCAGAGTTTCTATTTTCATCATATTCTAACTGAATCATGAGGCCCAAATTTTCAAGTATAATTTACTTTTTAATCTAGACTTTCCTGTTGAACCAAAAACAGTGAATCACGTACATTGGGAACATTAATTATAAATTTGGACCGATTAACAAGGCTTTGGATCACTTCATCTTCAATTGAAAAATGAATTTGAAAAACAGCTCAACACTCAATATTGAAAATGAAATTTCCAAACATTCAATAATTAAACTCTTTCGACTAAATTAAACTTTAATTAGCATTTCAGGTTGATTCATGAGAATTTCAAAGTTTATTCTTGTAACATAAAAGTTGAAAAACAGAGTAAATGCACAATAAAAATAACAAAAATCATGAATTAAATATGAATTTCGAAAAGGGAAAATTCGATGTTCCATGGAAAAGTTCCCATTGATTGAGTGAACGACGATATTCGAGGCTAAACCTCTTGAAAGTCGAGATTAAAGTTTAAAGCGTTTGAATAGCAAAAAATAAATAAACTTTGAGGTAAAGTGAAACAAAACAAATAAAGAGAAAAGACAAATTGATAAATATTCATATGTTACATGATTATCATGATTTATAATCTTGAAACTGGAGAAGAAAATAGTTGCGTAAAATGTCGTGAAATAACAAATGAATGTTGACTAAGTTTCTCTTTCATGTTACACATTTTTACGTTTTCATTGAGACTATTCATTGATTCGACTCAAGTCTGGAAATGTTCATTTCCAACTCACTGATCATGGTATACTTTGTGTGTTCCCTGTTTACAAACTAAAGAAAACATTCGCATTATCATGTTTCCAATGTTTCTCATGTAAAATGAATTCAACTTTACAGTTTCATGAAAAGTCGACCGAGAAAGGCGGTAAATGTAGGAAAATATGAACTTTTGGATTTACGATTCTGCAAATTTCGATCAACTTACGTTTTCTTTTCTCAATCAGTTATCGATTGCATCAAATGTTTAACGTGAAAAGTGTCTCAACTGTTTGTCCATCGAAAGTTTTTCAATGAATTTCGTTAACTTCGTCCTTCCAATCAACCTTTGTGAACCAATGAGTAAACATGAACTCGACAAATCTTGTTGATATAATCGAAGCTACACTCGGCCCAAGTCGAGCCATTTGCCTTCCATGGTTAATACTGTTGACGTTCGTCTACAGTTTAATCTTTATCCTCGGTGTGATCGGTAATACTGGTAAGTGAAACGGGAAAAGTCGAAATGTTTTGTTTCGTTTTTGCTTCGAACTTGGTTTCTTCTTCTCTCAATTGTCTTGTCAAAAGTGACTTGTCGGCCTTTTACTTTGCTCTATTTTTGACTCTCACTGTACTTGAATCTAATAATAATTTCATGTTCATCTTTTTTCTTGGCTTTTTTCCCATTCTTTTCATTCACCATTCTTCCATCGTCATCGTGTTCATTCTTGAAGCGACCATTCTTGTGATATTACGCTTCAAATACATGCAAAGTGTAACCAACCTGTATCTACTCAACTTAGCTATTGCTGATTTATTGACACTTTGTGCAGGTAAGAGGCAACTTTACCCAATCAATTTTTATTGCTTTACTCATTGTCTTTATTGATTGTCCCAAAAGAAGCAAAGGTAATTTCATTTAATTGGACAGTTAAAGGATGAAAGTTAGATCAATGAAGATCGCTTTTTCTGGTCTTCATTTGAATCAAGACTTTATTATTGGCAAATGATGAAACCTTTACCTGGGTCAATATAATCCAATTTAAGGTGAACTAATCTTCGAGTCACGTTGATGCTCAGTCGTATCATCTTTTGTCTTTTTGTAATCAAATTGATTCTAAAAGTTATCAAATCGAAGAGTCAGTTGATGCTCAATTAGGTTTAATTGTTGCCATTTCATGAATAATGAGTTTCGAATTCGTCTCAATCTTTTTCACTCTTTGCTCGACAAAATTTACTTTGACCTAAAATCCAATTCATGCAAAGTGGTTTCTATTAGCCGATTAAATATTAATCTTTAACTTCGCTTGAAAGCTTTAAAACAATTTTAGGCCCAATGGTCAGTTATGATGGAAAACAGATTCAATCGCAATTTCGATTGACATTCTCCTAATTTTCATTCGATTACGAATTGCTCAAAATTATTGTCCAAAGCCTTTCTTCAACTTCTAATCTTCCGTCTTGAACTTTTGAACAGATGAGTTAATGAGCACATTTTTAGTAACTGAAACTGAATTTCTTGTCACGTTCACCCTCTTAACTTTATTGCTCTTTAAACTTCAATTCATCCAGTTCTGTGCAATTGGCTCATTCCTAAGCTTTAAACTTTCTCTTAATGCCTTTCAAAAAATTTAACTTTCAAAATACAAAAGTCGCTTTTAAATAGGTGAGCGTTCCCACAACTCGCATTAATCAATTTGCAAATTCGAATCAGTTTCAGGTAAATAAAGCGGTTTCAATGGATTACCTTTTTTAGGCTTAACAGCAGAGAGTTAAAAGTTGAAAATCCTTTAATCCTTTTAAAATAATGAAAAGGTAACTTGAAAAGACAAGAAAGTCTCTTAAATGAGCTTCTTCAAACCAAATAGCAAAGTGTTTCACCTGAAACTGTCCTTTGCTAAGTGACATCTGATTCTTTGAACGACTCAGTTTTCAAATCGAAAGCACTTGATCTTTGATCCAATCAATTCAGCAACTCATCTGCAAGCCATTAACAACAAAATACTTCTAAACCTGTTACCTTAAGCCGCTTTCATTTCTAGTATTTTGGCTTAAAAAACGAGGCCTCGTGAGAAAATTTTCCTGTAAATGAATCAGTTTTCATGGTTTCCCACCTTTTCCCTTCAGACTAAACTACAGCTTAAAATTACCTAGAAATCAGTCGAAACTTCGCTCATATCACATTTCTGGATAAAAATATCGACAAAAGAAAAGTTGAATAGTTTGAATAGTTAATCGAAAAAAGTTTAGCTCAATTCAATCTCGAATTCATCATGAAATCAATTTTTCTAATAAAGTCTCATCAATCAGCTCAAAATTGTTGAACCTTTTTTAACAGAAAATCGAATACTTTTTCCATAAAGTTTCGAATGAAATTGGCTCTGCAAAAAAATCGAAAATAAGCGGTAAAAGATTCTAATTTTAAGAGCAGTTCGACTACAGAATGTTCATTTGATCTGAAAAATCTATAAATAATCAGTGGAATAAAATTTCTTGTTAAGTCTCGACTCGGAGCATTGAGATAATCAGCTATTGAAGCTCCAGAAGTGACTCAATTATTTGATGTCTCATTGAGTCAATCAATGAATCAACCTGATAATAAATGTAACCTTTTCAAGTTAATTGTGATTAATTAAAAGTAAAATTGTTAATGAATCATTAACTTTGTTTCTTTTACCTAAGATTAACAGTTAATTAGATGATCAATCAATTTGATTAACATTGTAGTTGAGCCAAGCTTGGCAGAAGCAAAACTGGAAACATTTTTCTCTTCTTTTCGTGCTTAATGAATGGCTAAAAGTTGATCAAAATTTTCACGATTATTGATTTTCTGTTTATTCAAATTCAATTTACTTTCATTTCCATTGATTAATATTCTTGTTATTCTTGGTAATCTTAATTAAAAATGGTTCTCTCGCCATTCCAATGTCATACTCTTTGTTTATCGCCATCTTCATTTACTTTTCTTTCATGGAATCATTTTTCTCTTCATCTTCAAGATTAACTTTACTCTCAACATTATCATTACTATCATCATTTTCATTCCCTTCTCATCATCACTCGAACCTATTTATCTGGTTTCACTTTGACTTATATTAAACTTTATTTCCTTGGATAACATCCAAAAATGTTTGTCAATTGTGTGAGATTGAGATGAAAATTAGAAAACCTTGAGATGATGAAGATGAGAAAAGAGCCAAAGATTAACCTTAATCTTGGCCAACAGCGAGTTTAGTGAAGTTACGTTACCAGGAAGAAACATGATGAAGCGAAATGAGCTTCAGAACAAAGTTGATGGTTTCTATCGTAATGATAATATTTGCTGAAACGATGAACGAACTTTCTTGTTGTAAAATCAAGGCTTGATATTGATATCATTCCTCGAGTTATTTATTCAGATTAGAGTCTGAACAATGATCAAACAGTTACATCTTCAAGTATAAATCAATGGAAACTCTTCAAAAGGTGAAACTTGACTTTTCTTCTGAAAACAAATTCTCACCAAATTATTATCAAACAAATAATCCAAGTTTTTCCAGGCTCATAAGTCAACGATTTTTGTAACTTCAAGAGTTGGAAAAATTGCGCATTTAATAGCATTTCATCTGCACGCTAGATATCGCATTTTCTGATCTTTCATTACTTCAATTTTATCTTTTCTAGAATTTTTGGTTCTTTCCAATTAAATGGTTACTTTCTGAAGAAAGGAAAGGAAAAATTTATGAGAATGAAATTCGTCCTGAAGCGTTTCATAGTTGATTACTGAAGATAAGAAAAGTCATTAAATAAATGAAATGCTTGTGTATGAATCATTATAATTACCAGTCTGAAGGAGTTTGCACCAAACTAACATCAAGGCAAGACTTTGTTAAAAGCCGAAGAATATTGTTGCCTGAAAAATTTCGAATTTTCGATGTTTCAAGTTGAATGTAGACAGAATCTTATTGGTGAAGATTTTCACGAAACAATGTAAAATAGTGTTTTCATCCTTCTCAGGTCAAGTTAGCTGTGCAAGAATAACCATCAACCGATAACCATTAAAACAAATTCAGCTAAACTTTAGCTAAATGGAAAATGTTCTAAAAGAAATTCTAAGACCAAGATTTGACTTCAGCGTCGCAAAATAGTTGTAGCTTTCAAGGAATTTAGTTTCCTGAGAAAACCATGTTCTAACAGGGTTGATGAAAAAATCCGTATTCTAAAGCAATGAAAGGAATTATTTTGGTTTGATGAAGTTATGGTTTATTGCTGGATGAGTACAAAAACTTTGATTTTAGAGTTGAGAGTTGCAACCTGATGGACATTTCTGAATATAAGAACTAAACCATCTAGGCGAATTTCTCTGATCGACAATTTTGATTCTTTCTAAAACCGAAAACTTCGATTGCATTTTGTGTAGAACCAGATTTGAACATTCTATAGTTACAAGCAAAGATATATTCCGTTGACATGTTTCAATCGCTATTAATGCAACTCGAAAGGTGATTGTGTTGATTGAAAGATGAAGTTACATGTTGAATCATCAGTTAATTTAACCTAAATAGCGAATGAATGAGTTGATCAAAGGAAGGAAAAAAACATGTTCCATTACATTTGCTTTTCCTCTTTTCTTGCCTCAACATAATTGATTCATTATTGCTACATGATCATTGAAACTAATTTTTTTCGCAACAAGACAAACAGATATTGGAATCATGTCAATAGATGATAAATATTAACAAAATTACCAAAATAAAGACACGAACCAACCAACCATTGAATGATGTGATTGTATTGTAACAAGAATATTGCAATTCAATTAATTGATTTGTAATTGATTGTAATAATTTCCTTAAATATTGTCGATACAATTCAGAATTTATTGTTCTTCTCTCACATTTGGGTAAACATGAAATAGATTCATTGTCTATTCTCTCAGAATATCTTTCATTTTGCGAAAAGTTAATTCATTCAGTTTATTATTTCTACGAGTTCGATTGTTGTCATGTTTTTCAGTCTCGTAGGAGTTTCATTAGCAATCAAAGAATCTGATTATTTCATTTTCCTCATTCAGCAACCCAAAAGCTGTCCAATAACAAGTTGATTTACATTAAACTTTTAGTCTTTTGTCTTCAACTTAATGGCAAAAGTTTCGAGTTTGAACTGAAATGTTACAGAATTGATCAAATCTTTCATATCATGATTGCTTTGCTTTTGTTTTTGATGAAAACAGAAAATGGAAACCCATTAAAAAATAGAAATTTTTTTTCGAATCATTACAGGAAAAGTTGAAATGTTGAGAACATTTTGTCGCTCTTAAGATGTTCTAAATCATTAAATCATCATGATAAATGTGATAATATCAACTTTTCTACTTTGGACAATTCGTTCAAATCAAATGGAAAGAAATGAAAAATTTTTCTTCTTCCCTTTCGAATCAAGAATCAAATGAATTCACAAAGTCTAGTTTTTGGATGAACGTCAATGAAAATTGAATTAACGAAACAATTAACGAAATTCATTTGTTTAAAAACAATGTCCATTTACAAAGCATCTTAAACTAATTAGAAGAACTTTTAATCGAAATTAATGATTTTGTTGCAACTATCGAATCAAAGGAAACGCTCAATCATGGTTAACTCGGTTAATCCAATAACAAAACTTATGACAAAGCTTGAATGCTAATAATAGGTTCAGTTGAACTCTTTAAAGGTTTAGCTGAAAACAATGAAGGTGAGTTACCTTTAATAAACTCTCCAACATTCACTTCCTCAAAGAATCAATGAGGTTTCACTCATGATGAGAATTCATTATTGACGTAACAACTGGAAGTTGAACTGAGCTTTACTCTTAG